TTCGTTAGATGACTGCAAAGTAGCTGCTTTGGCAGTCTACTGTCATCCATGCGGGTAATATGGTCAGTCCAGCGAAGATGTTCATGGATAATGGTAGCCTCGATGTTCCTACAGTTGGTGGCACCAAGAAGACTGGCATTTGTTCTCTTGTCTTCCCAGTAAACTCGGAGGATGGAAAGTAGATACGTTGGTGAAAGTTTTCAAGTGCCCTGAGGTGCCTCCTGTATGTGACCCATATCTCCCTGCCATATAGCAGGGTGGAGAGGACCACTGCTCGATATACGTGTAACATTGCAGATAATTTCATCTCCCTTCAGATGAAGACACGGTCTCGGAGTCTGCCAAAGGATTGAAATGCACATCTGATTTGATGTTGAATCTCTTCATCCATATCCACGGTGGTGGACAGGTGGGAGCCGAGATACCGAAAGCGGGTAACATTAGAGTGGGTAGTACCGTTACAAAGATGAATGGATGGTGGAGATGTGTCTGAACCAGGGGCAGGCTGAAAGAGAATCTGAGTCTTATGCATATTCACCTCAAGGCTGAAGTGTGCATACGCATCTACACAGGTGTTCAGGATCTCCTGTAGGTCGCGATTAGTGTGAGCAACAAGGGTGAGGTCGTCTGCATACTGAAGTTCAGTAATGGAAGCTGTTGACACCTTTGCTCCTGCCTGGAGTCGTCTTATGTTGAAAAGCCCCCCTTCATCAGGTACTCGACGTCCACCCCACCTGCTAAATTGGCACTGGTACGAGTAAGGAAGGCAGCCAAGAAAATGAAAAAGAGAGTTGGTGCCAGTACACACCCTTGTTTAACCCCCGTTTGGATGGGGAAGAACTCAGACTGGGTGCCATGGAGTTGCCTCACAATGGCGATGAATTTTGGTGGGCAGCCAAAACGGCTGTTGACCGAGTCGAAAGGCCTTGGATAGATCGATGAAAGCCATGTACAGGTCACGACGCTGTTCTCTGCACTTTTCCTGTATCTAGCGGGCAGCAAAGATCATGTCAGTGGTGCCACGTGATGGTCTAAAGCCACATTGAGATTCAGGGAAGAAGTTTACCGCCTCAGGAAGAAGTCTGTTTAGAAGGACTCAGGCAATTATCTTGCCAGCTACAAACAGCAGCGAGAACCCGCGGTAGTTGCCACACTCTGACCGGTTTCCCTTGTTCTTATATATATTGACGATGGAGGCGTCTTTAAGACTTAGAGGATCTCCTCCTTTTCCCATATATTCTCCAGGAGAGAGTGGAGACGGCTAGTAAGCAGAGGACCTCCTCCTTTATACACCTCGGCTGGGATTCCACCAAGCCCTGAGGCTTTGTTATTTATCATCTGTTTGATGACAGTAACTACCTCATCCAGGGATGGAGGATAGCTGAGGTGGGTTAGCTATGGATGCTGAGGGACCTGCTGGGTAATCAGGATATCCACATCGGTGTTTCGTTTAAGCAGTGAATAGCAGTGCTCTTTCCAATGCTGAAGGATGCCTTCATCGTCTTTAATTAGGGAGTTAACGTCAGATGAGCGGAGGGTGGCTGCGCCACGAGTGATTGGCCCATAAAATGTTTTAGTGGAATTGAAAAATTCGTGCATCTTGTGATGATATGCAAATTTTTGTGCTTCACATAATTTATTTTTAAACAGTCGTTCTTTAGATTGCGAAGTTCGCATTGGGTCGCCGGTTTCTTCTTGTGGAAGGTATCATCTTTGCTGTCAGACTGACGGTTGTTCTGCCAGTCAATTAAAGCACCATGTTTATCATCGACGAGTACACTGATTGCCGGGTCATTTTCATCAAACCAATCCTGGTGTATTCTTTCGATCTGACCGAGAATCTCTCTGCAGGTTTTTGTCATGACAGTGTCGAGAATATCCCTTTCAGCACTGGGATTTGGGTTGTTTGTTGTTGGGTTGTTTATCAGCCCATGTTCGAGCTGCTCTCTGAAAGAATGAGCTGCCGCTGGATCCTCTTCTGGAGTTTTCCTGCCTTCGCCGTTTTGGGGCGACGTGAAGTGAGAGCTTGGCTCTGACGAGCCGATGATCAGTGTCGCACTGGTCTGAGCCACTCATGGCTCCGGTGATGAGGATATCTCGGCGATCTCTTTCTCAGACAATGATGTAGTCAATGAGATGCCAGTGTTTGGATCGTGGGTGTTGCCACGAACCCTTAAACTTGTCGGCCTGCCTAAACAAGGTATTGGTGATAGTGAGGTTGTGTGCAGCACACTTGCTGAGGAGGAGTAGGCCGTTGGGATTACATTTGCCTCGTCCATTTCTCCCTATGGTTCCCTGCCAAATGTCAGCATCTCTGCCAACTCTGGCATTGAAGTCACCAAGGAGCACAACCTCATCTTCTCTGGGGATAGAGGTTAGCACTCTGTCCAGGTCGGCGTAAAAGGCCTCCTTGATGTCATCCTCTGCATCCAGTGTGGGGCGTATGCACTGATGATAAAGGCATGATGTGAGTGATTCAGTGGGAATCGGAGTGTCATGAGGCACTCGTTGATCCCAATAGGCATTTCAGTTAGCCAGTGTAGGATGCGTTGGCGGATGGCAAAGCCAACTCCATAAATGCGGTTTCTCTCCGCAGCAGGCTTACCCTTCCTGAAGAAGGTGTAGCCAGACCCCGTTCTGTGAGTCGACTCTCGTCTGGAAGTTGGGACACACTAATGGCTGCTATATTGATGTTATACCTAGCCAGCTCTTTTGCCACAAGAGCGATTCTTCTTTCAGGACGCTCATTTGTGCCAGTATCCAGAAGGGTCCTGACATTCCATGCAGCGACCATAAGAGGTTGTATGGTTTGTTTTTGCTTGGATCTATGATTATGACTGTGTTTTCAACCGCATAAGGATGATTTACTGGGTGCGGTTGCTCAGTCAGGTTGGTTCTTTAGGCAGGCTATGTTTAGGGCACCTTTTCTAGCCCCCTCTCCATGTGGGGTGAGCAGAGTGGTTCCTCGAAAGGGCCGCTCAGTCACACAGACAGTACCGGATTGCACTACTGCCAAGATCCCAGTGCATAAACTACCATCTTATCTGTGCCTGCCATGTGCAGAGCTGTGACTAGAGACTCCCGGCAGTCATCTCTGCTTGTCCCCGTCGCCAGTCGTTCATCGCCATAAGACTTTTGGGGGTATAGGGGTTTTGATGAAGATGAGAGTTATGATGAGCTGGGTGATGGCTGCACGTGAGTTGATTTATGTGGTGAGGCAGGAGCGCAGACTGCAACCACACATCTTGGCTCTCCCTTTTCCTGATCCAGTTGTGTAAGTGTTGCAATGACTGGGGGGAGGGAGAGTTGTAATGGACTGCCGATAGCCCAGTTTGTTGGGTTTCGCCTTAGTAGCCTGTCCATCATGCATTGCCTTCGTTTGCTGGTGTAGTCGTTGGGTTCCCATGGTGGTCTCCTATTCCGCCTATACCGCCGTTTGGGCCTTGTTGGAGCTCTGTAAGCATGTCTGCCTGATGCGGGCTACCGCAGACTTTTCGTTCGGGGTTTACTCCCGTAGCTTTATACCTACCAAAGTTAATCCGCAAGGCAGCTGGGCAATGGTTGGTAGGCGCCAGGGCGTGTCCACATGCCAGTGAGCCTATGCGCCTTCCCACTGGGGCCTACTGCTACTCCGAGATCCCCTGGTGGTCTAGCCTAGGCCCACGAGGCACCCAGTTACTGCGTATTGCCACGAGGAGGCACAGCAGGAATATTGATGGTCAAGAGGCTGTGTACTGGTAGGGGAAGACTTATGCAAATTGCTTCCCTGTTCGCCACGAGGGCTAGCCAGTGGCGGCAGCTGAAAGTGAGAGGAAGCAAACAGTGCTAGCACCTTAACACTAACCTAATGCTGCCACACTAGACGCATTTGACCACCCTGTGTGCGAAAACACACACACACACACTACAGTGCCAACTTGTGTCCCCTGAGCAGGGCCCCCTTAATGGTTCGGTGAGGATGCCTTCACCTGTAGACGACTGAAGACCCATTCCTACAGTCCTTTCCCTCCTCCCCCCGGCGCCACTACCACTACTACCACTACTACTACCATCACTACCAACACCACCACTACCACCATCACCACCCCCGAGACAGTGGCGTGAGAGCGTCAACCATTGTAGCCAGATAAACAGAATTCTTTGTCTGTCTGTCTGTCAACTCAATGTACAAAACCATATAGCGATATATAGTGTTTGTATACCGGGTTGTGAGTGTGCGTGGTGAGGGCGACTAGGGGCACACATTAGGACAGGAGCCACTGTGAGAGCTGCTCTACAATATATTATCATAATGACTTAATAACGATGGTAAACGAAGCATGAAGCCCTACACTAGCTAGACAACAGGAGGCCTTATCTGTTGTCGTAAGAACATGTCCCCCAGCCCCCCTGAGTCAACAAGGACTCAGCCCTTATCTCTGCTGGAAAGATTTGCAACTCCTGCCTGCAGAGAGTAAACACTGAATATAGGTCTTGTCTCTCTGCCGGAGGAACAGTCATCAAACCTTCCTGGAAAGGCAAACACGGAGGAGGGGGATCCTTCACATCTGCCGCGGTAACAGTCGACGACCCGCCTCTAGGAGCACCCGCGCACGCACACACAAGGGTCTGTATCACAAAAACATTGCCATTTACTCGTTTTTTCACAATGTAAGAAGGAGAAAGGGATAACTTGATCTATGTCACCTGTAATGACATTCACCTTCACATGATGAATAACGACTAAAACGAACGAAGAAAATGGTGCATGTTGGAAGAAATTCACGAACAGAACCATAAGTATTAAATTTCCTTCCAACTCAACCTAACCTAATCCAACCTAACCTAACCTAACCTAACCTAACTTAACAAAAAAATATCGTACGATCGTTAAGTTAGGTTAAATTAGTACAGTTACTTAGTTAAGCTAGGTTAGGTTAAGGTTGGTTAATTCGTGTTGTTTAAGAGAGAGAGAGAGAGAGAGAGAGAGAGAGAGAGAGAGAGAGAGAGAGACATCTTACCTCGGCAGGGAAGGCCTTGTTGTCCAGGAGGTGCTCAGAACCCTGTTGGTCTCTCTCACCGAAGTGTAGCCTGGCGTGGGTGACGGTGTAGGCGTAGCTGAGGGGGCCGCCTGACACGTTCACAGTGTGGGGAACGTCTGGGGCCGCCCTCCACTCCACGCTGTGCCCCGTGTTGACCAGCTCGCCGCCCACCTGAGCTAAGGACAGACACAGTCACCACCCCCCTTAAGAGACCCTGTACTATATGTGTCATCATGAACTCCCTTATAAAAAAAACTTAAATTTAACACCATAATTCATACGGCAATACAAGTTATACTCTCTTAAGACATCATGACTGTCAACCAATAGGAGCAGATCATCTTAAGACATCATGACTGTCAACCAATAGGAGCAGATCATCTTAAGACATCATGACTGTCAACCAATAGGAGCAGATCATCTTAAGACATCATGAGTGTCAACCAATGGAAAGAGACTAATCACCTTGTTCTACACCATCTGACCACCCCCTTACAGTAGGCCCATCGACAACTCACCGTGACCTTATCCAGGGTGAAGGGGGTGAGGTTGGGGTCGAAGAGGAGGGTCTTGGGGTCAACGTTGATGGGAGATTGCCGACGACCCTCCCTACACATACCCCAAGCTGGGTTGATGACGCCCCAAAAACGTGGTCCTGAGATTCCATCATACGTCCACCACTGACTCCAGTCTATACCGGGTGGGCTACTGGAAGGCGGTCCTGGTGGGGGAAGGAGAGGAGAGGTGGTTAGTAATGGTGAGAGAGAGAGAGAGAGAGAGAGAGAGAGAGAGAGAGAGAGAGAGAGAGAGAGAGAGAGAGAGAGTCACTCACACTTGATAATAAAGAGCATTATAAACATGTAGTGGAATGAATTAATAAACTTAAATAAACAACTAGAATTAAAAAACCCGAGTTTGTGTGATCAATAAACACGACAAAAACACACACACACACACACACACACACACACACACACACACACACACACACACACACACACACACACACACACACACACACACACACACACACACACACACACACCTCACCCCTGGTCTCGTAACCTGGTTCATGGTGGATTTCGAAGCTGTGGATCACGCACTTATAATCAATAGACTGACAGACGCCACAACATGAACTCACTTATTGTTGACTTATTTTTAGTGTTGGAACCTTCTACGAAAACCAAGATTAACTTTTGTTATTTTCTCCATTACCTCCAGTTGTTATTTGCAGGTGTGCCAGAACAGGTGTGCCAGAACAGGTGTACTAGAACAGGTGTACTAGAACAGGTGTACTAGAACAGGTGTACTAGAACAGGTGTTAGCATTTTAGATTATTACAACAAAATCTGCCACATCAATACTCAGTCCCCAGAAGGCAGGTCACGACAACACGAGAGACAGAGAACACTTAACACACGAGAGACAGAGAACACATAACACACGAGAGACAGAGAACACCCAACACACGAGAGACAGAGAACACTTAACACACGAGAGACAGAGAACACATAACACACGAGAGACAGAGAACACCCAACACACGAGAGACAGAGAACAGATATGATATTCTCACTACCAGCACACGAGACGTTAACCAATCAGGAGTCAGTGTATACAGGACAGTCCTTCCCGTCCGTCCGCCGTCCCCTCACCCTCGGACAGACAGACAGATAAGGATGACGGCAACGCTAACGGGGACGGGGACGCTAACGGGGGCGACACATTCACCTCCCTGTCACGAAGGCTTTGTTAGCTATGACGGTGACCTCTGTTCCCACTACACGCTATGTTCCTACACCTCCTCCTCCTCCTCCTCCTTCTACTCGTCCTCCTCCTCCTCCTCCTCCCTCCTCCTCCCTCCTCCTCCTCCTCCTCCTCCTCCTCCTTCTTCTAGACCTTCATCTTTTACTTCATTCTATTCGCTTGAGTGTACACACACACACACACACACACACACACACACACACACACACACACACACACACACACACACACACACACACACACACTTGTATGTTGACGAAAGGTGAGTCTGTCTGTTTGTCTGTCTGCCTGTCTGTCTGTCTGTCTCTCTGTCTGCCTGTCTGTCTGTCTCACTGTCTGTCTGTCTGCCTGCCTGTCTCACTGTCTGTCTGTCTGTCTGTCTGTCTATAAAGAAGTAAAACAATTGAGAGGCGACTGACTAAGTATTTAACAAAGTCATAAGCAACCACATACCACGCACCACATACCACGCACCACATACCACATACCAGGTACCACATACCACCACTACCAAATGTTAAAACAGATATTAAAAGATATAACATTTAACATTCCTCTCATCTCCTCGTCTCTCTTCTGGACTATTAACACACACTTGGGAAGAAAGAATTTAACATTAAGTCAAGAACCCAAGAAAAGATAAATTAAGGAAAAAGTTATAAGTTCAATGGCTGAGAGAGAGAGAGAGAGAGAGAGAGAGAGAGAGAGAGAGATAAGAGGGTCTTACATTTACATAACGCTAAACGTAAAGTCACGTAGAGCCACACAAATGAGAATTAAACCCATGACAGACAGACAGACAGACAGACAGGGAGACAGACAGACAGACAGGGGAATAAAAACTGTTGGCTGGACCCTCAGTCAAATACGTTTATATATAAAGAGTTAAGGTGGCCATTATTGTGAGAGGGAGAGACTGGGAGAGATAGTGAGGAAGAGACTGGGAGAGATAGTGAGGAAGAGACTGGGAGAGATAGTAAGGGAGAGACTTCATAACTATACAAATACAGTAAAATACAAACGCAATACAATAATACAAGAATAATACAACTTTTAAAATCACTAACACAAAATATACAGACAGATCAATTTTTCTCGCTTGATTGCAACGTGTACCTCATCATCGTGTGTATAATTTCTTCCAAAGTTTAAATGTTCGACAAAAGTTTGTAGATGTGTATTTTTTTTCTTGTATAAATATTTAGTTTTATATGAAAATTATCCCCCAGCATAGACTCGTAACGGAACCCCCACTGGCACGATCCTTTGGTGGCTAATTAGTGAAACATTCTGGTAATAAGATCGGTCGACGGGGCAATGTGTTTCATGTGAGTTTTTGTATCGCGCATTATGCAGAGACGTGACGAGGGTGAGAGAGAGAGAGTTACAACATATGTGTTATTGAACCAAGAAAGACTAACTCAAAAAAATAACAAGGTGCTTCACTAAACACTCACATTTACTACAATAACAAACAAAGTTGTTCAGAAAAAAACAACTCACCAACACTACAACAACAGCCACACAAACCACTGAGTCGAAAACATCTGAACAAACACACAAGAGGTCGTCCATCTCAGTATAACTTGGGTACGAATCCTCCACCCAAAAAAATATCTTTACGATTTAGTCTCGAGACAATATAACACAACGGACGATGAATTTTGACAAACCCTACTGAGACAACAGGAGTCACAGTGTTCATTCTGACATCCATCGATCACCCAGAGTACAGATAGTTTTTTTTGGAGTAAGTAATAATCCGTCTTCAAATTAAATAAAAAAAAATAGATGAAGAAAATGAATTAGTTAACTTTTCTTCATTTTACACGACCGACACAAGAGGTAAAACTCCTCCAGGAGACCAATAACGCTAAGGGCTATGTCCGTCTCTGGCTCACACACACACACACACACACACACACACACACACACACACACACACACACACACACACACACACCAACAGCTGCCTATGCAACAATAATTTTCCAGTAGACTGGTTGAGGAAACACAGGTAAAGAGACAGGTGAGAAAGACAGGTGAGAAAGACAGGTGAGAGAGAGACAGGTGAGTGAAGAGACAGGTGAGAGAGAGAGACACACACACCAGAGGGCAGGCAGAGATGTTGAAATATGCCAACTTTGCAATGTTGACTGAGGAGGGAAAGACGGCGTTAGAGCATGCATGACTCAGATCCTTACAGTGACAGGGGACAAGGGAAGGAGGGAGGGCAGGGTGACAGGGGGGTAGGGAGGCAGGGTGGCGAGGGAGGTAGGGTAGGGCAGGGTGGCGAGGGATGACAGGAGAGGGGGTGGGGGCGGTAAGGGAGGGCAGGGTGGCGAGGGATACAGGTGAGGGAGGTAAGGGAGGCAGGTGGCAGGAAGGTAAGGGGGTGAGGGAGAGCAATGATGGTGAGGGAGGTAAGGTGAGGGGGAGGGAGGGTGAGACAGAGGTGAGGGAGGGGAGAGGAGAATGAGAGGAAAAATTGTCTCCATTGAGTGCCTCGTTGAGTCACATTAAGGTGGCACTGTTGTGACTACTGAGACCAACTGAGTGGCACTGACAGCTGGGTTCCTCTCACAGCTGGGTGCTTCTCACAGCTGGGTGGCACTCACAGCTGGGTGGCACTCACAGCTGGGTGCTTCTCACAGCTGGTGGCACTCACAGCTGGGTGCCTCTTGGGTGCTTCTCACAGCTGGGTGCACAGCTGGGTGGCACTCACAGTTGGGTGCCTCTCACAGCTGGGTGCCTCTCACAGCTGGGTGGCACTCACAGCTGGGTGCTTCTCACAGCTGGGTGGCACTCAAGTTGGGTGCCTCTCACAGCTGGGTGCCTCTCACGGCTGGTGGCACTCACAGCTGGGTGGCACTCACAGTTGATTGCCTCTCACAACTGGGTGGCACTCACAGCTGGAGTGGCACTCACAGCTGGGTGCCTCTCACAGCTGGGTGGCACTCACAGTTGGGTCCCTCTCACAGCTGGGTGGCACTCACAGCTGGGTGGCACTCACAGTTGGGTGCCTCTCACAGCTGGGTGGCACTCACAGCTGGGTGCTTCTCACAGCTGGGTGCTTCTCACAGCTGGGTGGCACTCACAGTTGGGTGCCTCTCACAGCTGGGTGGCACTCACAGTTGGGTGCCTCTCACAGCTGGGTGGCACTCACAGTTGGGTGCCTCTCACAGCTGGGTGGCACTCACAGCTGGGTGCTTCTCACAGCTGGGTGCTTCTCACAGCTGGGTGGCACTCACAGCTGGGTGGCACTCACAGCTGGGTGCTTCTCACAGCTGGGTGCTTCTCACAGCTGGGTGGCACTCACAGCTGGGTGGCACTCTGGTTGGAATTCCTCTCACTGCTGGGTGGCACTCACAGCTGGGTGCTTCTCACAGCTGGGTGGCACTCACAGCTGGGTGGCACTCACAGCTGGGTGGCACTCACAGCTGGGTGGCACTCACAGCTGGGTGGCACTCACAGCTGGGTGCTTCTCACAGCTGGGTGGCACTCACAGCTGGGTGGCACTCACAGCTGGGTGCCTCTCACAGCTGGGTGGCACTCACAGTTGGGTGCCTCTCACAGCTGGGTGCCTCTCACAGCTGGGTGGCACTCACAGCTGGGTGGCACTCACAGTTGGGTGCCTCTCACAGCTGGGTGGCACTCACAGTTGGGTGCCTCTCACAGCTGGGTGCCTCTCACAGCTGGGTGGCACTCACAGTTGTCCCTCCATGCTGGGTGGGCACTCCACAGCTGGGTGGCACTCAGTTGGGTCCTCCCACAGCTGGCAGGCCTTTACAGCTGGGTGGCACTCAGCTGGGTCCCTCTCACAGCTGGGTGGCACTCACAGTTGGGTCCCTCACTGCTGGGTGGCACTCACAGCTGGGTGGCACTCACAGCTGGGTGGCACTCACAGTTGGGTCCCTCTCACTGCTGGGTGGCACTCACAGCTGGGTGGCA